AACGCCAACAATAATCTTTCCCTCACAGCGTAAATCATTAAAGACAAAATCCATTAATTAATATTGACAAGCCTTTTTTCAAGACTATTTTTGCTGTTATTATTAATATTATTATTATAGTAATTATTATAATAATTATTATTATTTTGTTATTATTATTATAATAGTTATTATTATAGTTATTATTTTGTTGTTATTATTTTTGTTGTTAAGATGGCGTATCGAATGAGAACCCTGGATAATAATAGACTGTCAAAGATAGAAGAGGATATTGAGAGGCTGAGTTTATGCTCTTACAAAGATGAACAACCACATCAACAACAACAACAAAATCTACAACAACAACAACAACATCATCAACAACAACAACATCATCAACAACAATATCAACAACAACAACAACATCAACAACAACAATATCAACAACAACATCAACAACAACATCAACAACAGCAGCAACAACATCAACAACAACATTATTTGCAACACCCTCATCACAATCAACAGCAAACCGTTCATTATGACGAATCCAAAGACCAAAACCCACTTCAGCAACAAATCAAACGAGAGTATTATCTGCAACAACTGAAACAACAACAGCAACAGTTGCAGCAGCAGCAGCAGCAACTTCAGCAGCAATTTCAACAACAGCACAGATACAACTGCCAGACGGACATCGACAACAACACAACAACGAAGTCGTCATCAGCATCAACAACTCTATCACGTGATGATATATTTCCATCGCCATCATCATCATCATTACCGGCATCTCCACCAATTTTACCAGACGCGGCAACAACAACAACGACACCAAAAAATTTCAACAAAGCCAGGGAGGAATTTTTTCGCAACAACTACGACAACTTGAAGCAACAAAGTTTGTTGAATCAACAACAACATCAACATCCATTACATCAACAACAACTGTTGCAACAACAGCTTTTGCAACAACTACAGCAGAAGCAGCAGCAAAGCTCTACAAGCCCTCATTACCAGCAGTTAACAGATTTTTATTCCACTTCAAAGCCGCAACAGTTGCAGACACTTTCACATCAACAAAATTACAACAGCAACAACAATAACGATGACGCATTACAACAACAACAACAGCAACAACAATATATGTTAGAAAAACAAAAAGACTTAATCGCAACGAATAACGAATTTGAAGCTGCAAAGTATTTCAAAGAAAAATACGACACACTGGGTAAAATAAAAAACAACAACATACAAAACATCAACAACAACATTCAGAACGTCAACAACAACAGCAACAACAACAGCAGTAGCAATACGATTGAAAAATTCATCTACCCGATCGACGACAGCCAGCAACACGTCATGTTGCAGTCTCAGCAACTCTACGCGCAGCAGCAACAACAGCAGCAGATCCAACAGCAGATCCTACACCTCCAGCATCAACATCATCAACAAAATGAATCCACGCTGCGACGAAAACAGCAGCAGCAGCAACTTCTGGAGGAGCAGTTGAAGATACAGCAACAACTGCTGAAAGAGGAGCAGCAGTTTCTGCAACAGCAACTGCAACAGACGAAGGAGTTGGAACGCATCAAACAGCAGACGGAGCAAGATCGCCACGAGCAACTGAAACAACAACAAATATTACAACAACAACAAAAACAGCAACAGCATAAGCAACAACTTTTGCAACAGCAACAACAACAACAAATGCAACAGCAACAACAACTCCTCCAACGACAACAGCAACGACAGTTGGAACTGGAAAGAATTCAACAACAACATCTAATCGAACAACAAAAATTTGATCAGCTGCTAGAACAGCAACGCCAAGCTGAGCAGCAGCAAGTTTTACAACAGCAACAAGAATTGATATTGCAGCAGCAGCAGCAGCAAGAACTTTTACAGCAGCAGCAGCTAGCGTTACAGCAGCAGCAAATAGCGCTACAACACCAAGTTGAATCTCCACAACAACTGCTACTAGAACAGCGGAACGTTCTCGACGATAAGGATCTCATGCAAGTTGACATTTTTTATCGTAGTCAACGATCAGAAATATTTGTTTGCAGATGTTGCGCCAATTTAACCCTTGGACCCAACTGGTCTTTCAAGCAGACGGGAAGTCTGAGCAACTCTCCAGCTTCCGGTGTCCGCCATCTCTGCAGGCACTTTCGGGATTGGGCAGCCATAAAATCCGGTGTTCCGATTCTCGTGTTCGACACAATCGATTGCGAACTCACTTTAATACTGGCCGAGAAAGGATCGGGATTTGCACTCTGGAAAAACCGGATCGGACCCCTGACCGGCTACTCCGTCATCGCATCTGACTTTCACGCCCTCAGAACTGAACCATCCTTGAAAAACACCGCCTCCTCACCGTCGAAATTTTCATCACCGATCGTCGGTTTGAACTTCGCGGATCTGATAGCGGCGGAGGAGTTCTACAAACAAGTCGTTAAACTAACAGCACTGGCGGCCTCTTCTGTAGCTGCCAACGACAATTACGACGCGAAGAGTGGTAGTAATCGGTCGCGGCACTATAGTGGCGGTGGATCGCTCGATCAAAGTCGGTTCTCGACGAATAAGATAACATCTCTCTCGACTTCCTCCTTGTTTAAAAGTAGTTTCAATGGCGGGGATGAGGAGGTGGTGGCTGGCTCGAAATCATCCATTCTAGCTAGGAAAGGTTAGCTGCCTGTGTTTCGTTCTGTGTTTCGTAAGCAGAATTTTGTAGTAATATTATTATTAATAATAACAATAATAATAAAATAGTAATAATATAATTTAAAAAATGATAATAATATAATTAAATATAATAATAAAAATAATAATATAATATAATAATAATATATAATAATAAAAACAATATACCAAATCGAAAAAATTTATAACGAGGCTGGCTTTAATTGGAAACATTCCAACGCCCTTATTATGTTTAATTATGAATAATATATATGTATATATAGGGAGAGAGAGAGACTGAGAGAGAAAGGGAGAGAGAAAAACAGAGAAATAGAGAGAGAAACAGAGTAGTGGTAGTAGTCGTAGTAGTAAAAGTAGTAATAGTAGTAGTAGCAGTATAATAAGCTTTCGTAGAGATGGTATTATTGTATTAGTAGTAATGGTAGTAGAAGTAATAGCAGTTGTAGTAGTAAGGTAGTAATAGTAATAGTAAGTAGTAGTAGTAGTAGTAGCAGTAGTAGTAGTAGTACTCTTAAGATTATTGTTTTAACATTGTTGATGCTATCTGCACTGCTGCTAAATATGCCCCATAATTCTAAAAAAGAAAGTTTTTAATTACTCTACTACTATTACCACCACAACCACCACCACCACTACTACTACTACTACTACTACTACTACTACTACTACAACTAAAACTCTTTTACTGCTATTACCACTACTACAACTACTGTACTACTTGTACTACTATTGTAATTGTACTGTACAAATTGTACTACTAACTGCTACTACTTATAAATAAAATAACATTAATTACTTTTAAGTAACTAATGAACGAATATTTTCGACATAACGTTTAACTCAGAGTTAAATTTTCATCATCTTCTTCTTCTTCACCATCGGCATCATCATCATCTTCATCATCATCGTCGTCATCTTCTTCTTCATCTTCACCACCACCATCATCATCATCTTCATCATCATCAAATCATCTGATATAATTTATTATTTTGTCATTATCTAGATTATTTTACGATTGTTATCTTAAACATCCTCGACTCCCTCGCAACTCCTACATCACAACTACCATCT